ATCTATATATATCTATATCTATATATAGATATAGATAAAAAAGACTGGATAATTTTCATGAAGGAAATCCTACAAATGAAAAATCAAATGTGAATTTTCCCGAGCCAAGAGCAATTGCAGTCAAGTCCAAGTCAACAGCAAAAAGGGCGGATTTGCAATAATCTTCTTGCAGTTCACTCACTTCTTGCAACTAATGGATTACAATTCAGCTCAGATGGTAATACTAGATCAGGGCTCGGAGGAAATGTGAATAGACTAAAACAATCCTCTGAGGATCAGATGTGCAGTGGAGTTTAAAAAACAAAAAAAAGAATTCTGGTTGATCAAAAGTGAGGAAGAAATATGTCACTGATGGAGACTCAGCTGTGACCAGGTCCCTCATCAGCTAATGTTTTCTGAAGTATTTCCTAACTTTGATACAGAAGATGGTAGCTTCGCTAACAAAATTAGCAAACATACACATTTAGATGCACTTCTGGGAGTCCTTATTAGAAAAAATGAGTAACTGCAGTGGAAAATCATGTGATACCGTTCATGGGTACACTGAAAACACAATAATTAAGATAATCCCGAAAGTGCTGACAGGCACATTATAAAACAGCCATCCAGAACTACAAAGGACCCTCACCCCGCAGCTGGAGACAGGGACTAGCAACGGTGATGGGAATCAGTGCTGCTGGCGGATGAAAGAAGCCTGCTTTGGTCAAAGAGATGGGCGCTACAGCTGTCAAACACACACACAGCAAGCAAAAGCAGACACCGACACACAGGCTTAAGACTCGGCGTACAATAATGAAAGGTGTTCCAGCAGCTTTCTGATATCAAAGTGTTGGGTGGGGTGCATTCACAATGTCACGCAGTCCCTGGGGTATCATTAGTAGCTACCATACATCTTAATATGTCACAACATCACAGCTGTCAATCACACTGAGCTCGTATATGGGTGCCGTATGAATGTGCACACAAAGTTGTGACAGTTTTTCCGCATCTGTCACTAACATAAATCCCATCATTGCTGCCCATCTGCCCGTCCATCCGTCTATCCATCCATCCCTTGGCCTGCGGTTTGCCTCAGGCTTATAAAGCTGCCTGGCAGACAGGCAGTCAGATATCTTAATCCCACAACAATAAGTAAACAGGGGTGTGGGGGATCTGTCTTTGCAGACAGTCTTAACCTACAGCTGCATAGAAAAGGCTTCAGAGAGGCTTAGTCCTGCCTCAGCCTACCGCGTCACCCACCCAACCCTCTTATCAATTGGCTAGACGTGGAGAGCAACGGAGGAACAGAAACCGTTCCACATGACTTATATGTCTATCGTTTTGCCAATTACGATCCCTTTTTCACTGTTTATCAGTCTACTTAGCCTTATAAATGCTTAGATACCTACGGTAGGTCGTCACATGCTTCCTCGAATATGATGCAAAGTTACATCAGAAAAAACGCAAATGTCAAACTCATGCTTGCACTAGAGAGAAAAATCACAAGCTTTATAGATCTCCTTCTGTGTATGTTTACTTACATCTGTCAAAAACATTTAAAACCCTATATATCCATGCTGAGAATACCTACAACATCCAATTACATCTGACTACAAGTTTGAGTAAATCAGAACCTAGGCAAGTCCAGTGATTCATTACTTAAACCTAAACAATGAAATACAACATCTGGGTGTATTTAAAGCAAAAACGCCATTCTTAGATGTAACAAGGTAAATGTGGCAGTTTATCATGTTTAGGACTTAAGGCCCTATAATCCAGTGCTCACCCAAAGCCAGCTCCAGACAGAGGCGGGGATGCTGACGGGGGTCAGGGCGTTTCGTTTTAGGAGCCGTTTGTTTAATCAAAAGACCAGACTGGCTGTTAAGCGGTGAGACGAGAAGGACTATGCAGATAAATACTGAACTTTGAACTGTGTTTGATAGCTTTTATCCAAAGGCTTGGATTGATAACAAAGATGCACACACGCACACTGGGACGAGGCATAGACGAGATGTAAATGCCACAATGTGCAGGTCAATGGCAATCAACCCATGAAGTCTCCCTCTGTGTCACGCAGTCTCACCAAGCTGCTGTGAAATGTGTTTTGAAGCTTTTGGAGTAAACGTTTGTGTCAAGTTCAGCTTTTTCGATCCACGAACTTGAGCTGCTTTTTAAGATGAACATAACCTTTTTGCATCCTGTGTGATTCAAGAACCTTTTAGTTTGCTTCAACAAACAAGTCCTCTGAACTCTCTGCACAGAAAACCATTTGGTATTAAAAAGCGTTGCACTGTAACGTACTTTTCGTTGCATATTTAATTAAATGACTTGTTAGTGACTATGAACATGACCTGTTAGTTCATCGCAGTAGGCGATGCCATAGTATATATCTAAAAAAACCTGAAAAAACGTGACTGAATTAAAATCAAATGGAAATATTTATATCATTATATAGTATGTGCACGTCTGAATGGTTGATTTGGCAGATTTGTATTTATTTATTTATTTAACACCAGATTTAATTCTTGACGTGATTTGTGTCTTCTGGGATTAAATTTGTCAATTTATTTTTAAAAATGAAATTAAAAGTTAAAATTATGAAGCGCATATTGGAAAACATTTAATAATAATTGACAATATACATGATATATATGCTGCATGATATAGATTTTTCTATGTTACAGCTTTAAACAAAATGTATATTAAAATATGTCTTAAAAATGTATTATAAATATATTTTATTTATAATAAAATATTTCATATATTTTAATAAATAAACGTAATAAAACAAAAATGTTGAGTCGTGTGATTTATGTTAATATTGGGAATTTTAAGTTGCTCAATTCTGAGGAAACACCTTCGTTTATGCATGAAGGAACAAGGACTAAAACCCAGACAGAAAAGAGACACCAAGCCCAAAACAGGGGGAAGAGGGAAGCAATAAATTTAATAAATAAGAGCAGAGCCAAAAAGAAGAAAGCTGCTGAAAACCCAACAGGAAAAACAGGCATGCAGGAGGCTTCACACTAGCTTTATTTAAACAGAGGAGAAACACGCAGGCGAGACAGGAAAGCAAGAGTACATCCTCTTAAAAACATGGAAAATAAAAAAGGAAAACTTCACACAGACAAAGTAGCGGGTTTAACAGAAAAAGAGAGCTAAGTTTAGTGATTTAAACCAATGTGACAGAGAGGAGAGTCAGACGCAGTGATGAATTTAGTACTGCATCGAGCTATGAGTCACTTTTTAAAAGGGGAACAAAATGGTGTGGCAGTTAGCGGTGCTGGCAAAGGGAAAGCTCTCAGATAGATGAATCTGCTTCCAAACCACTGATGGCTAAAAAAAACTGTACTGTAGTCACACTAAGAGAAAAAACGTTCTCCCCATAATTTCATTGGTGGTAATGCTCATAACGTTACACAGATAAAAATGAATATTTTCCCAAAGTGCTTTGGTTTCATTTCAATTCCTTAATTTTCAGTTCAATCTTTTGTGTGCATGAGATCATCCACACACTTAAGACTCGGTCAGAGCTGAAAGTATCGTCTGGTCAGAGACTGATTGTGAATGCAATTATGCGAGTGTGCGTCCACGTAGCTGTCTGCAGATATGTGTGTGTTTCTGTTACTCTGACCGCGAGTGGGTATCTTGCAGTGCGTAGGCGAGTCCCCGTACATCTGCTCTGCCATCGCTCGGATGTTTTCGGTGTAACTGTTACTCTCGTGGTCGTGGAGATCATCCAGCGTGCGGCTACGCGTGCGCCTGCCCTCGTGGCCGCGTGTGTCCACGTGACGCTGCGTGTTGCCCTGAGAGTC